TTAGACAGCGGAGTTGCTCCGTATTTTTAGCCGTAAAGAATCAGCAGCAATCAATGCGCTTGATTCAAGATGAAAATTTCCGGTCTAAAATGAACACTTGCAGATGATTAGCTAAATCACTTAGGTAAGGGCCTGAACTCGATGCAATGACCAGGGTCAAGCAAGGGGTGTGGCACACGATCGCTGGTTACGATCCCCCCCCCCCCCGATTGCTGTCTTAATAAGACTCCCCCCTCCCCTGAACTATATACCTAAGATAGCATTACCAGAGTTGAGAAAGAGGTCAGACACAAGTCCTTCGAAACCCCTCCCCCCTCCCATAAAAGCCCTCAAACGACCCCTTCTTCCTCCTCTTAACCTCTGGACCTCAAAGTGTGAACATTCTGAGGGACACCATCCTTTTCTAGAGAGTTTTCAGATTTCTGAGAGCTGTACGCCCGATTTTCTGTGACTGCACTTTACAATCACACGTAATTTGACGGCTGATTTTGATCTGAATGGGCATATTGAAAGGGCCATAATTTTCTTATGGGTGGGGGTTCGGCTCCAAATTTCCAAAGTAGCAAGAAGAAGCTATGTGCTCAATACTCATACCAGCAATGGAGCGCTTTCTGGATTTTGAAGGCAAGTTAAGGGGGTGTGCCGCACCCCATTAACTATATCAAAAAAACATTTTTAGCGGACAGTATTTATATGAATCGATAGCCTAAACCTTGTAGATTCCATAGGACTGTTTGGAGGCTGATTTGTCTTCTTAGCTCTAAGTAATATTTGGTGAAAGCACAGCGATCAAAAGCGAAAATTGGAAAAAACGAGATTTTGGTTGACTTCTAATTCCACAGTTTGCAGGTGTTCTGGAGCGGGATTCCCGAGGTGGACAAAGAAGGAGTAGTGCTTTATCTTGAGTGCAAAAACGGATAGCTAATTCACCCTTGAAACAAAGTTAACCATGTTGGAATTTGACCATTTCATTTAGGTAGCCTAGTATCTTGAATCTTCAGAACTCGCTCACACTTTGTCTACAGGGGTTAATTGACATGCTAATTATGGATATGATACGAATATCATGTTATCACTATTATCAGATTACCCAACTACGACCCCCTCCCCTTTTGACTCCTCAGTACGACCCGCAGGTGTGGCGTGCCGCACCCCACGCTTGACCCTGGTAATGACGATTCTTTGTCCAGCTAACAGGAGATCCTTCACAATTTCCATACAACAAACAGAAAACTGTGGAGCCCTTCTTGTTCCCCTGTGACTCCTAATCGCATAAATAGGTTTTTGGTTCTGCGTGCATTATCTCACATCATATTTTTAGCTGATGCCAGGTTTTCAGTAATAAAAAGTAGTCGCTATAACATTTGAAGGTCCTCTCAGGCTTTTTACTAGTCTACGCACGTTGAAGTCAAAAGCACTGCAAAAATTACATAGATACACAAAGAAGTGCCTTGGTGAATAAGTGGTCATTTTAAGCGGGCAAAGATTGTGAGATTGTCACAACATGCAATAGGTAAAGATATTGCTTTTCGCACCTCATCAAGTAATTCCGAGAAGGTAGTTGGCAAAGAGCAACGAGTGCTATCGCTAACGGCACATTAAGCGATGAATTGGCTTATTGTAAGTTGAATGCTAGTTTTACAAAGAAGTCCGTGCACGAGTGAAGGGCTGCAGCATTCAGGCTCAGTGAGAGCACTTCCTTGATTGCCTATGGGGAGCGATAGAGTTTTGCAAAAGGAGGCACTTCCGTCGCCATTAGGCTATGAAATTTTCAATTCATTCTCTCGCAAAAAAATGAAAGAACGGAGTTGCAGGTGTGTTGGCTGAGATTGAACTCCTTTTTTTACTACACGCCAAAGCTTTTGAGCTACAAAATCAGCTAATTTCCTTTTTGTTGCTCAACGAAATCAGACTGTATGTAAGCGAAGTGTGTAAGCAAAGAATGATAGGCGTACCCAAAGATTCTGTTCGGGGGGGGGGGGAGGACTAGAATTTTCTTCTGATGAAGGTGTGTGGCACTGATAGAAATGTGGTGTAAAATTTAATTTCGACTTCAACAAAGGATGCAAATTGTTATATGCACAAGACAAAGACAAGTTCAAGCTTTGGTAACAAGATCAAAATTCCATTCTTATCTAGATCCTAGGCAAAAACTGAAGCGGCTGCACTTTATCAGAAGTGAAACGAGGCGGATAAATTACGTTAGCAATGTTTTTAGTCGCGCGGATAAAGATCTGTGTATTCTTGATCACGTCACTTTTATGTTCAACTTCGCCTTTTGAGCTCTAAGTCGCAACAATATGTTTGCATTAGAAACAGTAGATTAATACGTTCTAGTAAAATCCAAACTATCATCTTATATATAAAGTTGAATGTCTGTCTGTATGTCTGTATGTCTGTACGTATGTGCGGAATAGAAATTTTTATTTCTGAACCGATTTGGACCAAACTTGGCACACATATACTTCGGGGCAGGGAGCGTGTCATAGGCTACTTTTCGTCATCGATTGATATCGATTTTATCGATTTTTTGCAAAATTTGAGGTACGGGGCTGGGAGTTGGCGCAGGGGGTAATCGAGCATGCTGATTACGAATATAATAATGACAGGGCCGGGCGGAGCCGGGTTTGCCAGCTAGTAATTGTATAAGCTCCAACAACAGAAAATTCTCGCAGTAAACATCAAAGTACAATACATTTTTGACATGAGATTGCACCATAATCTGCAAAATTTGTAATTGTTGAACCGTGAAATTGCGTAGCCACATTATCAGAGTTGTGCTCATCTCTGGAATTTACTTATAGCTAAAATCATTTACAGTTCTTGACTGTAACTCAGAAACGCTATTTGTATGTCGCGTGGAGTACCGAGGGGGGGGCCGAGATTGGGTCGCAAAATTTTTGAATGTTACTTACATGAGTTATATAAATGTGCAAGTGTCTTATGTATACTTGAAAGTAATTAAAATAATTTTTGAAATTTTTTTGAAAATTCGATTTAGCCTTATAAAAAATTTTTTTTCGAGGGCGTAGCGTCAGCCACGCCCCTTTTTCTGAAATTTTGGGGTTGTGCGCCCGCGAAAATTTTGAGAAGCTTACCAAAAAGTTTTTTGGGTGCGTGGCTAACAATTGAAATTACTGCCTTCAAAACATCTCCGCGTGCACAACAATTTTCGAAAATTCTCCTAAAAATAAGTTCAATTTATCAATAAACAGTGAAAAAATGCAATGGTCCAGGTAGACTTTTCCGGACTCGCTCTATTGATCACTTCTGTTTCCTTTTCAAACGAGTAGTCCAATCCAGAAGAAATCAAAAAAATTTCTTCAAGAAGAAAATAATGCTGGAAATTATGTATTAGCCAACTTTGACTGAATTTGTAGCTGTCAAAGCATAGCTGCTGGAAAGAGCAAGAGATTCCAAGCACAACTTTTAAGCACTTCAACAGCACTCCCTTTTCTTTCCGCTCTAAAATCCGTATATAACTTGAGATGGAGAGGAGTGCGAAGTTTTAGACTGATTTAGCAATTTAAGAAAAAATAATGGGATTTTCGCTAGAATTTGGCCTACAGGGGCTATTTAACATGCTAACTACGAATATGTTACTGTTTATGTCTGGTAGAGCCTATATATCATGCTAACGTTGTGCAAATAATGCTGAAAAGTGGGTATTGAGGCAGAATATACAGCGGCAGAGGAGGGGGGGTCGTGTTGGGCGGTTGCGTGCCACATTTTTGCTTAACCCCGGTTGGGATTTCAGTGCCCAAGTCCCGCAGTAAAAGGTAAAAATCAAGGCGGAGAAATCGCTGGAAAATTAGTTGGAAATGTTAAAAAGCTTAACTTGATAGAAAGCAAGTATTCGATAGTTCTAATTTTTCTCAAGCCCAGTTCTGGAGGGCGGATGTTCATCTTTATCGGGAGTGTTTCTGTAGAGAGTTGGCAATCAGTTTAGCATTTCCGCTATGTCCTTAAAAATCCGACTAACTCTCATTTTGGGCGAACCTTGCCTTTGAGTGAGGGTATCACTTGTTTGTTAGCAAAAAAGCTAAACAGGGAATGGTCGGAAATTAACCGAGCCAATTCAATCAAGCTGTATACCGTTGAACTCGTCTCGAAATGCTAATTTCAAATATAGGTCTATTGTCTGCCGAGCGAGTTTATGGAAGGACTAATGAACGTTCGAATGTGTGACTTGTCAAGTATTTTAAAGCGCATGTTCTACGAAAAACATTCCAGTGTCATTTATTTGAGTTTTTGGTAAATGTGCTTCTTCCTTCCAATTAAAATACTCATAATCACTGCAATTACGCACCTTCAGGCTGCCTTTCAAAGACTGTATTCATTAGAACTCAAATGATTTCTTATACATAAACATTCACAACTTCTTTCGGAAGTCGTTCGGCAGAATAAACATACAACTGAAATTGTTCCAACATGAGTTCAATGATACACAGCTTGTTTGGAAAAGGTGGATCCCAACATTATTACGATCCAATGCGCAAAGGCATAACTTTGATGATTGCAAAAGCTTTTCAATTTGCATACTGGAACCATTTTAAGCTACGATAGGTGCACGGCAAGAGATTGCAATTTTTGCACTGAAATATCCAAGTATTCAATGTTACAACGTGTAATCAATTTAAAGTCCTGGCTGAAGCACATCATCGGTCTCTCTAAAGCTTTGTTCTTCATATTTCCCTATCGGAACGTGTTTCCAATTGCCCTAAAACAAGATTCTGCTTTCTAGTCACAATTTCCCCTTTCTCCTCCTCTCCCCCCCCCCCTTCCAACTCCTCGGTAGAGCGCCTGATCCTACGACACTGAAGTGGTAATCTGACATCGAATACTTGAATACTAGAAATTTTCTGATCACATGATATCATTATCCCATTGAGAGTGCAAGCAAACCCTTAGCTACCATGTTGGCTGTATTCCTTTATTCGTTGGACGAGTTTATAAGTGAATTGCGCGCGTATAAAACCCGTTCGAATTTTATGTTTTTATTAAGAAAAAAAGGCCTTGCGACAGCATCCATCACAACGATCTCTCGGGTGCATTCCGTCCACGGTGCAGGTCGCCGTCGTTACAACTCCGTCGATGCTCGTGGTAAAGCTTGCAGTTCTTGTACATGCTGAGTGATTTATTCAGTGAGAAAAGAATCCTTTTTAGTATTTTTCAAATTTCTAAAAAACAAGTGAAAGTTTATTCACAATTTATTACGACTCTTATTCAAATGAATTTCGCCCTCAAGAACTATATTAATAGCGAGTGCGGAAAAAATTCGCCAAAATAACCTCTAGTCGCGGCAGCAAAGGAAAGCAAGAAAATGACTTACAGAATACACACTGTAGACCGTTTTCGTCCGCCTGAGCACAAACAAATGCCGACATGGTAAGGGCAACGATGAAAAGCATCTGTTATCAAGTACAAGTAGCATTGATCATTAGGAGATCATTTTGATGATATGCTATGCCGACGCTGTTTCAAAAGTTTTCACAGAGCTTTAGCAGTTTATGACATTTCATAAAGCTTTAACAGATCATGACAGTCATTCGGCAGCTGATATGGTTTCACAGTCAACAATTTTTAGATTTTTTCTTCTCTTTCAAGTGCTTTTATGCCACTAAATGTTGAATTTCCAGCGATTGAAGCGATTTTAAGAGGGGTTGAGTAAAGTGCTTTCAAAGTGCTTGTAACCTTGTGACGTACTGCGTAAGCAATAACCGCGGGCGATACCACTGCTATGATCTGGCAATCCAAGAACGAAGGGGACTACTGTGCAGTGATTAACGATGTAGCATAAGACAGGGAAACTAAAAATATAGTGTTCTGTTCGATGTGTTTGATGAGACAATAAAAGTGTGTTCGCCGCGAAGTAAGACACCGAGTCTTCTAGATGTGGAAGATTTTGTGGCTGTCCTCGAAATACACTAGAGGCGGATGGGTAGTATCCCTAACTTAATCGGTTGTACAAACAAGGGGCAAGTAGAGAAGAGGGTAGTCTTTCAACGTCTTATACATCCCAGTGAATCCTTATCATTTCTGTGAAGCATCTGAAAATGTTCGCGAAAGAATAACACTTTGTAACACCTGCTCTTGCATTTCGCAGGAGCAAGAAGCAACGCAAGACTCGAACGACGATTACGGAAGCTACGCTATCACATGCAGTTGCCAACTTCGAAAATGCAAGGTGAGTAGCTTCAACAAACACTCTTGAAAAATAGATCAAGAGAAACATGGTAGGTTTTTGAAAGTATTGGAAAACTATACCATGACCGACCAACACAGGACGTACCGAGAAGCTTCCGTTCTTTTGCTTTTAGATCAAGGAAACTCAACACCTGGTGTCACATCAATTAAGTACGGTAGTCTGAATAATCTCTCATCTCATGTGATTTGCTGTCCAGACGTTGCAAAAAAATTTTAGCATGGAATGCAAAAAGACAATGATCTAGCATAGCGGTTTCGCAAACACCCCCCCCCCTTCCCCGGAAGATTGAACCACAAGAAATTGCTAAAGAAGAACTTTAACCACTAAGACCATATCTTGAACAGGGCGAGATTCATATCCATCCTTTCTCATAAAGCCGTTCTTCCACTATCTTACACTTGAGATGCAGTGCAACTTTTAGATGGAAAGTCCTGGTACATACACCACATAGCTAACTGTAGCTACTCTGGCGCTGCGAGATTAATTCAACTTTCAGGAAAGAGATTTTTTGATTACGACTGCGCTAGAGCTACGTTTCTCAGGAAGCGCGCTCTATTACCATGTTTTCCATATAGCTTAGCAGTGAGCACAAGGACAATATGTAGCAATTATCCGGCCTCAGATTGGGCGCTCACCGTGAAAAATCACATGAACCGGCACTGGCATCAGCGATTTAGGAAATCCGTGAATAAACTACCTCGACTCGCTTCTATACTAATCCTGGAGCCAATCATACACAGTGATTTTCTTGAACAGCAGGCGATGCGAGTATAAGCAGAGTGAGAATGATTCCCATTCTTCAAGCTGCAGATATCTTTTAGAAGCTGCATTTCACCGCACAAAAAGGTTTACCCACAAATGGAATAAGTCACAACTTCATTCAACAGTGACACCCTATAAGACATTCATACAATTGCGAAGCAAAGCTGGTAAGCGCCTGACAAGGTTACAAGATTCACTAGCTATGAATATGAAAATATGCCAAAAGGGCGTTTAGGAGTTGACGAAACATTCTGGGAGAGTGAATTATTTATACGGTACCGTCAAAACAAAAAGCATTGACATTTTTATTCATAGTTTCATCACATCATTTTCAGGTTTGCCGATTCATTGACTCAGCCATCACGAACATGAGCCCGAAAAAGGAGGAGACGTAAAAGTTGAGAACGCTAAAACGCTAGTCTTAATAAGTTTCACCAACTTTGATTAAACATGGGGAAAGAGGGGGGAAACCAACCATGCCTCATCAAATTATCTACACAGAGAATTTGGGCAAACAAAGTACCCTATTTTCAGGTTTATAAGTCGCACTTTTTCAAATTTTTGAACGGGCTGCTCAGCCCGGCACTGTACGATTCTTTTAGGCAATACGCGGCACAGGGTAAGGTCCTTTGGCTGCGAGGTCCTTTGATGTGTTCGGGGTGATCGGTATAAGCTAGGACCTCCTCGCGGCTTATATACCTGAGAATAGGGTATAAATTATTGAGTAGCCAAGCTCTCATAATGGAGCTTAATTCGCCTTGTTTTCCTTTAAGCAATAGATGCCGGAAGCACAACCACTGTAGGCGGATAGGATAAATGAGATTCTGGCCGGTTCTTTATTTGATAGTTTGATTATTTGAAGCAGAATTCATGGTGTGGGCGAACAAGGAGTAATGTTTGCATTGAGTTCGAAAAAAGTAGACTCTTAAAATATAACTGAACATGTCTGAAAACGACTCTTCCCATATTTATGGAATACTGGGAACCTTCAGAATTTGTTAGAACCTGGCCCTTAAAGATGATTTAACATGCTAGCTACAAATAGGTTAATGTTTATGTTCTGTAGAGCCTTCATATCATGCCTGGTAAGAAAAGAAAATACTGGGGGGGGGGGGGGGTTTGAGACAGGACTTGGGGCGGGGGTATTGCCCGACCTGGTGATAGATTTCCAAACTTCATTTCTAGTTTTTTTTTACGAAACTGTCCAAGGATATCGTTCCAAACTTTGAGTTTTGACCTTAGTGATACAAATAACAGAGGGCCGCTGTTTAGCTTCAAAAGATTTCTGAAGATTTCTACTATGGCAATAATCTATACGTGTGACAGGCCAATCTCGCATGAATTTCCAAGGCAAAAAACTGGAAAGAATTGCTGAAAATCACGATCTGAAAAACCGCTTTTGGAAGCTTTTGTTAGTGACTAGCCTGTACACGCTCAAGCAGCTATTATGAAAGCGTATAACTTCTTGAATTTTCAATAAATCAAATAATGAATTTGGGTCTAACACGCAAAGATTGCTGAGATTCGCTGTCATGCGAGAAACAGCGAGAACATCAGTTGATAGTAATGTGGCCGATCTGAGAAGGGAAGCGTGTTTAGTCGAAGTGGCTTTTTCAAAAAAGACCTATACTGATAGAGTATTGCATGTTAGCTCCAAATCTGCCTTCATCATCTGCCAAGTGTCTCTGGACTTTGAGTTATGACCGTTTTTTGGAACGAAAAAATGAATGCAGAATTTGGGTAATATCAACTGTTACAATTTTTCCAGCGCTGAGATAAAGCAATAAGTATTAGCACATAAAAAATGTATCCACTACATGAACTGCTCTGATACTCAACACCCCAGTTGAGCAAATTTGGGCGAAGTTGTTCCGTTTTGTGTTCGATTTTTCGACCCGAAAAAGTATGGTTCTCATCTGAAAAGGCCACTTCAGCTTCTTCCTTTGCGACTGCTTCGCCTGGGCTCTGTCACTTTCGCGAGCATGCTCTCTCATCGTTTTCGTACGTTTAACTAGCGATTGAAGCTTGGACCTTTCGCACACTTGTGGTGGGAAAACACGATCAAAAAGCATGCTCGCGAAGAAGGTCAGAGCTCAGGTGAGTCGGTCGGGTGGAACCCCACCCGCAAGAGCCCCTATCGCTCTTAATGGTGCAGAGGAGCTTTGAGTTTCACAACTTAAACACTCGGTGTTTGGTTTCTCTACCTGAGGAGCAGCTACACGCTTTTAGAGTCGCAATATCATCGTAAAGCTTCGGAAAAAAACTAGAATTTCTGGGGTTCGGCGCCATATGCCTTCTTTTACACCACTAGGCCACAAATACGTCTATATAAATGCCGATTTATAGTAGTGAATCGCCTTCAAAACATCTCACATGTGGAGCCTCGATGATGCACATTAGACTTGCCTCGGAGGTGCCTAGCGTGCAAGTATTTGACAGGCCCGTGAAGGTAACCGAGTGAGACATGAACATTTAAATGCAGTCTCAGCATTTACACCTCTTCCTTCTATCCCCGCCTTCCTTTCCACTGCTTACGTAATATACCATTACTTAGGGGACCGAATATTCAAATTTTCTAGCAGGATTATAAAACGATTTTCAGCATTCAAAGTAAACAAATCACCTGAAAACCTAACAGCTCGAAATTAGAATGATGATTCTTACGTTAGAAAACTCTTTCGAGCTTAACCTTGTTGACAGAACAATTGATTTTTTGACGTAAGAGATGTGTGCTCATGGAAAAATATATTCAAAACTCGTAGTTGAATTGGCTGAGCGAACTTCCAAGGTTGATAAGGCTTCTTTATTCGCTAACGTTTCGGCGCTTTCGCCTTTTTCAGAGCCTGCAATCCGAAATCATGTGAACTTACTCGCCCAGACGTCGACAAAAGGCCAAAGTATCATTCGAAAACAAAGCTAACATTCAACGAATTCATATTCACAAGCACAGCACTCACCTTAGATAGCATAAGGCGGCAGTGGCTACCTAGGATCTCCGCTCGGTGTGGGGGGAGGGACAAAAAATGTTTTCCGATGAAGGTGCGTGGTGCTAGCCACGCACTCCGAAAATTTTTTTGAGATGCTTCCCAAATTTTTCCGGGTCTCTGACCCCGAAATTCCAAAAAAGGGGGCGCGGCTGACGCCAGGCCCCCGAAAAAAATTTTTTATAAGGCTAAAACGATTTTTCAAAAATTTTCAAAAATTATTTCAATTACAATATAAGGTCGTTTCGAAAGTAATGTCGCTTTTTTGAAATGAACGCCACATTTCATGGAATCAAGATTTTTAAGAGTTCTTGGAAGCATTCGATGCAGCATTTCATCCTCCTTTTTATGGTTCTAATCTTAAGGCATAATATTGAGCTATGAGCTGTCGAAAAATTACCAAAATCGGCGACTCATGCTTTTTGCCATGGTCAAGTTCGGCTATTTTTCTAAATTT